GTGAAGACACAAAATAAATGTCTGTATGATTGATTTCAGCAGACATGTTGATTCTGGCATCGCAGTGTGAGAGTAAATCACAGAGCTGGAAATGGAAAACAATAGTCTTTTACCTCTTAGGGTGGGTGTGTGTGTGTGTGTGTGTTACTCATATTGTCACGGCATGAATCTGTTTGCATAGCCTCTATGGAAACAAAAGTCCCTGTAATGTAAATCATTAATGTTCATGCTGAAGTCCTGGCAGCGTTAGGGTAAGGGTTGGATTAGGATTAGTATAGTTAAAGTTAAGTCTGTTGAATGTAAATCAATCGAACGTCCTCTGAAGTAATGGAAAGACAAGGGTGTGTGTGTGTGTGCGTGCCTGAAAGTTTTTAGTGTGACAAACCACACTTTACATCTGCATGTTTCAATGACACGTTGTGTATTTGATGTGAAGAAAACTGTCATTTATGTATGAAAGGAATCCGGTGCACAAAGGATTCTGCACAGGAATGATCGTTCACGTTTTCCCTACTTGATGACAGTGGTATGCACTATGCATGAAGGAAACTGTTGAAGAAAAAGTAGATTCTGAAAGTGACGGTTGGATTGGTGTTATCTTCCTTATCTGGAAAACTTCATGCTGGGCTTCATTAGCTGTGAAAAGGCTGCAGGCGTGTCAGCGACTTACCTGCCAGTAGAAACTCAGAGGGGACTGAGGCTTTTGAAGGACATGAATGTTAGCAGCCGGCAGTAAATTGCTGTAATTGTTTTTTATTTAAAATTAAACTTTGAGTTTACGGTTAAAAGCAGGTGAAACATGCAGTCCAGTGAAGTCCACTCCCACTGGAAGAGTGACCCTTCAGAAACATTAAAAAACTTTGGGGACAGAGAGTGCACAGAGAGAGCAATTTATGTGGAAAGGTAAAGACGATACAGTAATACAAAGAAGAAAACAAAAAAAATGAGAAAGCCCAAATGTGCAAGCACTTGGCAAAAGTAGAAAGAAAAAACTCCCTTTTAGAAGGAAGAAACCTCGTCCAGAACCAGGCCAAACCAACTTAATTGGCACCTTTTATTGTGGAGGAGTTGCAGCTCTCCATGAGTTCCTGCTGAAGGACTGAGCTCTGCAGCACCCACTCACAAACAGCAACCCTTCCCACTACAGAGTGGGCACTCCCTGACGTCACACTTGCTAATTCTCATTCCTGTCAGTTCTTACCTACTCAGCTGCAAACTGGACGTCACGAAAAACCAGATCTGGCAGGCAAACCAGTCTTCCCATCCTTACTGGAAAAATGGAACACAAACTTTCACTTTCTCTACATGTCTTTGGGATACAAGTTTACCAATAAGATAAAACACAAAAGCAACAGACTTGGTAAAAACAGAAAAACACCCAAGCTGGCAACCACCGTTAATTAGACCCGTACGTCTGAGTCAGCAGTGTAAAGAAATGTGCATTCTTCACTAGCCATAGATCAGCCGTACAAAAAGTACAAATGCGACGTCACTGCATCTTTAAAAT